AACCCACACTTGAGACACTTGCCTCTCTCGCTCAAGGGCTGTCTTCTGTCGGCTTGCATTTTAAACCCTGGTCTCCAGCCATTGCAACAGCCTGACTACAGTAAATTACTTCCTGCTAAATCAAGGCTGTCCAGGCAAGTGTTAACCTCGCTCGCAAGGAGCTGATGTTGCAGGGCCCGCTGTTATAAAACACAATCAAGGAGGCTGTTGTTTTCCCCTGTGGCTGGCAGAAGAGGTGGGGAAAATCGCTGCAATTCCCAGGGGGGTTGATTGGCTATTTTTTTCCCCCCAACCAGGCTTAGCGCAGCCCTCTGGGGTCGTTAGCAGCGATTGAGCTCCCAGTTCAGTTCAGACCCCATGGTCTGGAGCTGCTGGGGAATGCAGTGGGCAGTGGTGGCCTGGCATCATCCTGGTTCCCTGCTCCCACCTCCCTCCTTCCCAGCTAATCACACCGCTGAGGTCCAGCATGGTGATGCCAGACAGCTCCGCTCATGCCTGATTGCTGCCTCCCACCAGGAAGCCACTCTTTAAAGGCCTGGGGAAGAGTACGGTTGGGGCAGGTGGTGTGGGCGAAAGAGATGTTTTCCATCTGGGAACTGCATAATGACTCTAAGCAGGTTTTCCACTGGGTTTCTTGATCCGGTTTTGCAGCCTGGTGATGGATTCTCTTGGAAGCTCTTGGACCTTCACGTTTCTCTCCCACAAACAGCAAACGAAATCTCAATCTGGGTGGATACCAGAGGTTAGCTGTTATTCCCCTGGGACCTGCGGTATGTTGCATTTAAGAAGGGATGCTCACTGTTTAACAGATGAAGGCTTAGATGGCTCCAAAAATCGGTATGATGACAGGGCATGGCTTCCCACCCTGGGTTGCTTGTGCCGTGGTCTGAGCAGCTCATGGTTGCCCAGTCAACCCCAAGGAGCAACCGCACCTGCCTCGTTTTCCTAGAAAACTGGAAAAAAGTAGGAAGCAGATGGGAATCCTCCTTCCATTTGTTTTCTCCTTTGGCCCAAGCTTCAGGCGTCTTGCTGGAGCAGCAGTGCCTTGGTGTCCCCAGTGCCCACCCAGCGTGGCCAAAGGAGCAGGCAGGCAGGTAGCAGCAGGACGACACTCACGTCCGGTCACGCCTGTACCCTGACAGCTTTTTGACGTTCAGTAATTGCTTCTCTGCTATGACTTTTTTAAGCAGAGAGCTTATGGCCAAAACAATTTGCTCCCCATCAATTTTTATTTCCTGGTTTCTGAGTGTGAGGTAGGGGAGGGAAAACAAAGAGGGTGAACGTGAACTAACCGAGCTGAGACCTGCTCCGGCAGCCCCGTGCAGATGGAAAGGTGGGAAGGATTTGGCTCCTTTCATGCCAGTGGAGCCAGCTTCAGGCAGGTGGGACATGGCAGCCTATCTCATCCAAACAGCAACGGGTCGTCCTTCCAACATGCTTTGCTCACCTCTGCAACCAACCTTCAACTGCTCATCTCTGCCTGGCAGATTTTGGGGGTACAGCTGTCACCCTGGGGGCTCAGTGGGAATCCGTGCTGCCTTGAAAGGCTCTTCTTGGCTCTTTAAGCCCTTCCCTGCTCCTCCTGCCATGCTCCCTGAAGCTGCTGTGAGTACAGTTAATCTTGGGCGATTTAAGGAGTCGTTGAGTGGGGCTCAGTGGATGATGAATATTGAAACCATTACCGGCTCGGTGGAGCTGTTTAAAACTGAATTCTCCTATGTAAATTTCTGCTCCATCAATCCTGATGACATGTCAAACATCGCTATTGTTTCCTGAACAAATTGGATGACATGCCCTTTCCTGCAGATTTGCCCACAAGAGCAGAACCGCTCGCCGGCTCCTTGCTTTGTTTTCTCCAGCTCTGCCAGCCGCAAGCTGGTGGGGAAAGATGGACGGGACGGCCCTTGGTGGGACAAAAGGGAAAGGTCTGAAATATTTGTACTTGTTGGATGGAGATGGATGGAGAGTAGGTATTTCTGTGTGCCTGTGATTCACTGTAAATTAATCCTTTGGGTTATCCACCCTTCCTTCTCCACAGATGTGTTTTTTTCAGAAATGGGCTGCGCTGGTGACAGCTCATGAAAGTATGTGGACCTGCGTTTTCATCCTGCCCTTTTGCAAGCTCCAGTGGGCAAATCCCGCTTTAATATTCTGGGCAGGAGAGGAGCTGCCGTAAAAGCCATTTGATTGTTCCTCCAGGTGGAACCCCAGGAAACTTCCAGCCAGATGCCTTTCCTCCCCCAGCTGTGGGGATGGATGCGTGCATGCCTGGGGGGGGACCAGTCAGCAAGGGAGGGGGGCAGCTGTGGGAAAACAGCTGGCACCCAGGAACTGAGAAAGACCCCACAAAGCCATCGGCTCAGTGGGATTTGGGGTATTCTGCACATGGGCTGCGTGTGCTTCCTGGGAGCCCTCGGGATCACTCCGCAGAGGGGGTGCTTGTTACCTCCCCAGGGGTTCAAGCATCTGAGCATCTTTTTCACCCCTAGAGGGAAAACATTTGGTAACACAGAAAGAAGTGTAGATCCAAAATTATATATGCTGAGGGTGCATGGTTTTGCTTTTTGCATATTCGCTGTCACACTCAAGTAACCTGCACCATTACCCTGCATTATGTCCATGATGTTCAGTTGCCAGGAAAGCCATCAAGCAGGCATCACCTTCCACCTCCCCTGGTGTAAATCAGAGTAATTAATTAGCCTAGCTGGTGAGGTGGTGTACAGGGCAGAGTTAGGCTGCTTGGCCTCCTGGCTCCTCGTGAGCAGTTCTCTTTGCCTTGCTGGCAGTTTTGGCTGGCCCGGCATCGCTGCAACTCAGGGTCCAGCGCTCCCTCCCAGCTCTTCTCCCCAGGGCCCCACTGCCTCCCATGCCGAGCAGCTATGTGCTAACCTTCTTTTAACCTTCCTCCTTCCCTATATTTTTTTTCCTCAGCAGAAGAAAATTACAGTTTCCCAGCATTGTCTGTCACTGCAATAAGCACTTACAAGTGCAATTGTACGGGGCCAAATGAAGGGAATTAGTTTTGCTCGTGCTTTGTGGCACTGTCAGGCCCCCTGTAAATCATTATCTCATCACCAGCCTATCCAGTTGCATGGAAAATGCCTTTCTGGCCTCTGCTATCACACCAGCCACTTAGGGATTAATGGGACCTAGGGGTTCACAAAGGTTGTGGGCACAGAAGTAATGGCTGAAAAAAATCCTGGCTGACAGGTCAAGGGCTGGCTTGTACCAGGCAATGCTGAGGATGCTCATAGCACTGAAGGATTTGGGGGAGATAGGACCCAGGGTCCTTGCTGGCCAGCTCTGGCCTTGCTTTGGGGGTTTGCCACCACAATTCACAGCCACCAGGGCTGGTGGTAGGCGTTAGGATGGGGGACTAATGCCGGAAGCCGGGGTGTCCTCAAAGGAGCAAGATGCACCCCAGAGGAGGCTTGCCTTCCAGGATCAGATGCTGCTCACTCTCAGGGTATCTCTTCAAGCAGGTTTTGGCAGGTTTGTTCCATTTTACTGAACTAAATTGCAATGGACATGAAAACTAAATCGCATCTTAGCAGTGGAGAGGAAAATTGGGAAAATCAGTAGTTCTGAAAGGCTGGGTCCACCAGCACACCCTTCAGCTG